GAATTACTACAGATATTATTCTTTTGTTCCTTTAAGTTTTTCTTAGACCTCTCTGAGAAGTCCTCCTGGAATGCTTTCTTTTGGTACTCTACTTTTCAAAACTGTTCTGCAAATTTCAGCATAATGATGTTATAATCTATTATCTTTCTCCGAGCTTCAGATTTTTTTTAATTGCTGTTCAGAGGATCGCCAGCTGTTTATTCTGTAAGGAGGCCGAATCAGACTGAATTTTGCCCATAAGATATTAGTATATTCTGTCACTTTTAATCATATCTATCCCCATGTGTTCAGTGAACGCCTAGCAATATGTGTATCGCACATCCCAAGACACTGGAAACTGTGCGCGCTGATGAACTAGAATGCATAGATGCTGACATTGAAGTTTAACCACCAGATACAATCTGCTGGAGGTCTTACAACAACAAAGACAAGTTCTGAAGTAGCAATCTGCTTGTTTATGTTTTCTTTATCATGTAATTTCTTATCTGAATGTGTCTTGATCGATCTACCTCCTCTAGATAGTTTTGTAGTTGTTTCTTAGATATTTAATTCAGCACTCTTAAATAATGTGTGACTGGATCCGCAAGGCATATAGTTATTAAAGATAAAAACACATGTTCATTAACATTAAAATATTGTAGTTTAACCAGCAGTAGTCAGACTTAACTTTATTTTAATTTTTCTTATCTTCATATAAATCTCAAAACAAAATCAGATTTTCTTTTTTTTTTTTAAATGCATTAAAGTTGGCTAAAATGTGTGGCCCTATACATTCTGAGAGAGTGGACAATTTGGTTATGGTGTAAAATATGTTCTCACATAAAATGTACCTATATGATTCATCCCAATTGGGGTTATGTGCAAAGGACAAAGCCAGTGGCGGAATTACTGCTGGTGCACAGGGGCCCGCAAACTCAGGGGGCCCATCGGTACTTAGACCCACACAATGGACATTTTATATCAGGGGCCCGTTTAGATGTTGCAGCCCTTTAACAGCACGACCGGGCCCCTGCCCTGTGTGAAGCTGCGTTGCTGGGAGGACGTAAGTACAATGCACTTTCTCCCAGCATACCAATGAGCCACGCATAGGGGAGAACCAGAGAGGAGGGAGAGCAGTTTCCTATCACACTCAGCCAGATGCCACTGGACCCCAGACAAGCCACCTTCCTGCAGCAAAAGGGTATGAAAGCAGGGGGGTGACTAAAACAGAGTAATGTGATCTTTGTGTGTATGTATGTGTTATCTATGTCTCTGTGTTATCTGTTTGTATATATGTGTGTTATCTGTATGTGTATCTGTGTGTTTATGTATTTATGTGTATGTGTTATCTCTGTGTGTATGTGTTATCTTTGTGTATATGTGTGTGTTATCTGTGTATCTGTGTGTCTGTATGTGTACCTGTGTGTCAATGTGTGCTCATGTGTATCTGTGTGTTTGTTTAGCTGTATGTGTGTTAGTGTTTATATCTGTATGAATGTAATTGTGTGTACATGTGTGTCTGCATGTGTGGCACTGTGTGCGTCTGTGTGTGTATTAGTGTGTCTGTGTATCTGGATGTGTCTGTGTGTGTGTGGCAGTGTATATGTATATGTGTATACATCTCAACATTCAAATTCCAACACTACACACAAATTCACCCCTCCATTCAAACGTCAAAACTACATACACACACCCCTACGTTCAAAGCCAAATACTACACACAAGTAAACTAGTGCTTTCGAATGGCAACAGTACATAAAACACAACATAACAATACACACAAATACACCCCTACATACACGCACACATACTCCATACAAAAAACATGCTTACATTCAAACATACAAACACAGATCACTGCTAAGTCGAACCCTGAAATTATGGGCAAATAATAGATCCCCAGCTGGCAAAGCATTGTGGGAGTTGTACAACAGATGGGTCCTCTCTATTTTAGTTCCACCACTGGGCAGAGTCATTCTAAAATCGGTGCAATTGCTATGGTAACCAATGGCATTTTTGTGCTGATTACTCCACATTAAGAACTTTGCCCCAGAATACCCTTGCATAAATATAGCTTTTATGGCTTATTTTTTTTAGATTTTTTCATATGTGTCTCTACCAAGTCAATGAGTTCCCATATATTGTGTTTTCTTTGTCTAAGTAACTGATTGTGGTCATCCACGGGGATCCTCTTCATTTTGTCAAGGCATGATGATCTTCTGTTGGTAGCAAAGAACCTATTTCAAAGGCAAAGAAAAAATTGTTGCTTGTGTATACAAAGCAATTAAAGCTCTTTCCATTGGCTCAAAATATGAAACAGTATTTTATTTTACACATTTACAAATGGCTCATGCAGCATAGTACTGGAGGAATTAAACCAGTCGTATACAGACACTTGTGAATGAAACCATTAGAGGACATACTTGTGTACAGTGCAGATTTATTGAACACCTATAAAGCAAAAAAAAAAAAAGATTTAGCCAAATCTCATTTAATAAATAAACTAATTCACGCATACATATTAGAAAACAGATTTCATGGCTGGTTTTAGAGTTCTTTATCTGTGCATCCCCACTAATTAACACACAGTTGACAAACACAGCTGACAAACACACAGACAAACACAGTGCTCTCAAGTTTCCATAAATGTTTCGCTGATATGTCCCACAAGAGGCCATGTTACCTAGCACCCTGCTTTGGACACCCTGTGTAACGGATCGCCTGGCACCCCGACTGGATACCTCCGTTAAAGGATGCTCCTAGCGCTTCCTGAGGACTCCAAGCACTGCAGCAGACACCACAACCAACCCGAGAAAGGCAGTGAATCCTCCTCATGAATGCTGTAGACAGTTGAATAGGAACCATACCTAATAGGTTTACCTCCTAGCAGTCAAACCGGAACAGCATACACACAAATCCTTCCCACAATGAGACGACACTTCACTTTGAGGGTTAAACAGGAACTCCCTGTACTGTCACATACAGTCTCTTTTATTCCCAATCCACAAACATAGTACAGCCCACAGGGCATTACAAAACAGCCAATCAATCCATACAAGACACCCAGACACTCCCACACAAAATCCTCCCCTCTGGCTGTGATATGATTACTGAACACAATGGGTAATCTAATTGTCACAGCCAGAGAAATACAGTTTCATAAAACACATCACAGGGACCCCAAAACATGCAATAACCCCATAAAAATATCCTTGGAACTGGGGGATCTGGGTGAACCACATATCCAAAATTCACCCAGATCCGTTCAGTACTTTGGAAAATACAGTTTAATGCAGATTCTGCAGAACATATACAGGCTAAATAAAAAACAATCACTGCATAATGTGTCCCCTGCTGTATAGTCCAAAACCACCGCACGATGTCTCTGTGCAACAAATACTGGCGAGATGGCACCGTGTTGAAAAGTCCACACAGTGTCTGTGAGTTAAAATGGCCGCCATCCATTGTTCTCACCATGTGCTTCTGATACAGGAAATGGTGGCCACCCAGTAACTCCACAGTATGTCCCCAGATGGTTCTCAAAAGGGCCAGCAGCAGCACAACACAAATCCATTATGCCCAAATCATGTCTTTAAAGGGCAATACATCCCAGGGGCCATATTCACATGGCAGGAGGCTGGCAACCAGGCTTGTCCAGTGCATAGTGGCGAGGTTGGTTCCGCCACACTTCTCCCCTTTACCAATCAGACTAACAGGGTATCTGACCTCCTGCCGGTCAGTGCCCTTGTTAGTCCAGCAGCCCACCCACAAAACACAATCAGTAATACAGCCAGTGGTGTATCCTGGTTTTGTGCTGCCCTAGGCAGGACAAAACTCAGGCACCCCCCCGCGCCACCCCCACCCGCGCAACCGCCACCCAACCTCCCCCCCTGCTCCGCCTTCTAAATACACACACACACACATTCACTGACAGATACGCATTCACTAGCTAACAGAAACACACACTCACTAACAGACACACACTCACACACTCACTAACAGACACACACACTCACAGGCAAACACACACACGAACAGACATCCACACTAACAGACACACACATACACTAACATTAACATACACACTAACACTAACAGACACACACACTAACACTAACAGACACACACTAACACTAACAGACACACACTAACACTAACAGACACACTAACAGACACACACACACACTAACACTAACATACACACACACACACACTAACACACACACACTAACAGACACACACTAACAGACAAACACTAACACACACACACTAACAGACACACACTAACACACACACACACTAACAGACACACACTAACAGACACACACTAACAGACATCCACACACACACTAGCAGACATACACACACTCACTAGTGTTTTTTTTTTATTTTTTTTATTTAACCCCCCCCAGCCTCCTTACCTTTGGTAATGCTGGGGGGGGTTCTTCCTCTCCATGGTGGTCCAGTGGCTGCAGCGCTGGGCGGGCGGGCGGCCGGCGAGGGAGCTCTTCCCCTGAGCGCTCTGCTCAGCTCCCTCGCGCGCCGCCAGCAGAGTGAGGCTGGGAGCCGGAATATGACTTCATCAACCCGGCTCCCAGCCTCACTCTGCTGGCGGCGCGCGAGGGAGCTGAGCAGAGCGCTCAGGGGAAGAGCTCCCTCGCTGGCCGCCCGCCCAGCGCAGCAGCCACTGCCACCCAGTGCCCAGAATGTCTGTTAGCCGCGAGGCTAACAAGACATTTGCCTTGGGCATTTGGGGGGCGGCGTTTTTTGCCGCCCCCTGAAAAATGCCGCCCAAGGCAAATGCCTTGTTTGCCTCGTGGCTAATACGCCCCTGAATACAGCCCACCCACAATAACTGGGTACTACACCTGGGTAGAGGAGAACTTTGTCCGTGTCCAGGTGCCTCACCATGGCTGTGTGGGTGACTGGTAAGCGTACTGGGTGGGTTGCTGAGTGGGCAGAGACCAGCGGTACTCTGTCCTGGTGCCAGCACTACCACGGGAGTAGTCTGGTTGGAGCCTGGTTGCTGGAGGGGGAGACAGACTGTCTCCCCTTTGCCTAAACAGTCCTGCTGCTGGGGGACAGGACCGACTGTCCCTACCCCCGGTGGTGCATGTGCAGAGACCACTGTCCCATCTGCACTGTTGTGGAGATTACTGTCTCCCCTTGGTGGGCTAAGCTGCCGCTGGGGAGAGGGGATAACAAGCTCCTCTCCCTGACACTCTCTCTGCTGTTGAAGGGGGAGACCGACTGTCTCCCCTTTCAATAATTTGTCCTGTTGCTGGGGAGAGGTGATAACTGGTTCCTCTCCCTGGAACACTCTCTGCTGTTGGAGAGGGGGACCAACTGTCTCCCCTTTTAATATATTGTCCTGCTGCTGGGGAGCGAGACCGACTGTCTCCGCTTCCTGCAGGACACACTGCCGCTGGGGAGGAAGGACGGCACCTTCAGCTCCCTGGGGTACACACTGCCGCTGGGGAGGAAGGACGGCACATTTGGCTCCCTGGGACTCACACTGCTGCTGGGGAGGAAGGATGGCACCTTCAGCTCCCTGGGGTACACACTGCCGCTGGGGAGGAAGGATGACACCTTCAGCTCCCTGGGGTACACACTGCCGCTGGGGAGGAAGGACGGCACCTTCAGCTCCCTGGGATACACACTGCCGCTGGGGAGGAAGGACAGCACCTTCTGCTCCCTGGGGTACACACTGCCGCTGGGGAGGAAGGACGACACCTTCAGCTCCCTGGGATACACACTGCCGCTGGGGAGGAAGGACGGCACCTTCAGCTCCCTGGGACACACACTGCCGCTGGGGAGGAAGGACGACACCTTTGGCTCCCTGGGACTCACACTGCCGCTGGGGAGGAAGGACAACACCTTCTGCTCCCTGGGGTACACACTGCCGCTGGGGAGGAAGGACGACACCTTCAGCTCCCTGGGATACATACTGCCGCTGGGGATCTGGGCTGACTGCCCAGCATCCCTGTAGGGCCTGTAGAGAGACCTCGGTCCCATCTCCACCTGCCAGCTGGGTGTCTTCCCAGGACAAGTCAATAAGGTCTTCCATCTCTGGGGCTGGTTGGGACATATGTGGTACAGTACCAAGGTCTCCTGATAACAGGCTTGGTTGCTGGGGAGGAGGAACTAAACTCAATGCTTCCGGTGGTATACAGTCAATAAGCCCCATCATGTCAGAGACAGGCGGCGTTATACGTTGGAATAGGCAAACATAATCCTGTTCTAGTTCCCACTCTCGGTTGGCAAGAAAAGATAGATCTGGCTGAATGGCATCAATCTCTCCCAGTTGTCTGCCCGCTCAGCTCGGATGGACCAGAAGCGAGCAATGTCGACTAGTTTCAATAGTATCCCACAACAAACCAGGGCCATCGTAGTCTTCCCCCTCAATACACTTGTACTCAATCAGCCATGGGTAGAGGTGGTAAACATGCCACCGCAGGGCCCGATAGGAATCATCCAGCCACACCTCAGTCTCAACTAGCGTCTCCAGTTCGCTTACCCATTCCTCTGAGGGCTGGTTTCCCAATAACGGCATCCACAGCTCTAGTTGTTCTGCTTGGCGCTGGTTAGTGGTCAGGATTTCCTCGCACCGGAAGGGTCGAATTTCGTCGATGTCCTCCTTCCAGAGATCGGTACGAAGCACCACCCTCCACTCTGTCTCTCTTTCCTCTGGGATAGGATACTCCATACTGCGCATCACATCCTGTAGTCGCTGCTGGAGCCTGGCGTCAAAGTGAGATACTGCATGGCCTTCCATCTCTGACGTAGTGCTGGTTTTCACAAATCTTTCTGTAGGCAGGGACGCTGTATGAACACTAGCGTCGCCTTCAATTTGTAAATCCACGAACTGTGTCTCTGAGCTGCTTTACCTCGCACTAGGACGCCATCCCACCGCTGCCACCAATGTAACGGATCGCCTGGCACCCCAACTGGGTACCTCCGTTGAAGGATGCTCCTAGCGCTTCCTGAGGACTCCAAGCACTCTGGCAGACACCACAATCACCGAACCGGAGAAACAAATAAATTCTCCCAAGCATATGAATGCTGTAGACAGTTGAATAGGAACCATACTAATAGGTTTACTCTCCTAGCAGTCAAACTGGAACAGCATACAATAAATCCTTCCCCCAATAATGAGACGACACTTCACTTTGAGGGTTAAAACAGGAACTCCTGTACTGTCACATACAGTCTCTTTTATTCCCAATCCACAAACATAGTACAGCCCACAGGGCGTTACAAAACAGCCAATCAATCCACACAATACACCCAGACACTCCCACACAAAATCCTCCCCTCTGGCTGTGATATGATTACTGAACACAATGGGTAATCTAATTATCACAGCCAGAGAAATACAGTTTCATAAAACACATCACAGTGACCCCAAAACATGCAATAACCCCATAAAAATATCCTTGGAACTGGGGGATCTGGGTGAACCACATATCCAAAATTCACCCAGATCCGTTCAGTACTTTGGAAAATACAGTTTAATGCAGATTCTGCAGAACATATACAGGCTAAATAAAAACAATCACTGTATAATGTGTCCCCTGCTGTATAGTCCAAAACCACAGCACGATGTCTCTGTGCAACAAATACTGGCGAGATGGCACCGTGTTGAAAAGTCCACACAGTGTCTGTGAGTTAAAATGGCCGCCATTCATTGTTCTCACCATGTGCTTCTGATACAGGAAATGGTGGCCACCCAGTAACTCCACAGTATGTCCCCAGATGGTTCTCAAAAGGGCCAGCAGCAGCACAACACAAATCCATTATGCCCAAATCATGTCTTTAAAGGGCAATACATCCCAGGGGCCATAGTCACATGGCAGGAGGCTGGCAACCAGGCTTCTCCAGTGCATAGTGGCGAGGTTGGTTCCGCCACACCCTGAATGCACAAAGATGTGACCATGGCTGTCTGGTAAATCTTATTGAAAATCTCTGTTGAGAATCAAAAGGTCAGATATTATATTCCTGGCCTTAAAACCCCTTTGAACAGTAAGTCAAGGTAAAGAAATTAGGGACAAATGTATAGTCACGCACTTTAAAGGCACCAAAATTACTTCATTTCAATTAAATGGTCTAGGTCAGGGATAGGCAACCTTCGGCACTCCAGATGTTTTGGACTACATCCCCCATAATGCTCTGACACCCATAGTGCTGGCAAAGCTTCAAGGGAGGTTTAGTCCATAACATCTGGAGTGCCGAAGGTTGCCTATGCCTGGTCTAGGTGGTGTCTCACCACATCCATTTTAACCCTCCAGCTGAAAACATTGCAATTCTCCATGTTATCATTGCAGAATTTAAGTTTCTCTAGTGACTGTCCCTCAGTCACTAGAAGCGCTTCTGAGGAAATAGAGTAAAATTATTCTATTTCTATCAGATGGTCTAAGAGATTGGCACAGCACTGTGTTTTGCCGAAAATCACACTTGCATCCCAGTGCTTTTCTACGGGAAAGCATTAGAATGGCTGGGATCATTAATCTTTATCATCTCAGACAAGGAGGAATGACCAGCTGCAAAGACCAGCACTGCGAAGGATAAAAGGTAAGTAAAACTACCTTTTTTCTCCCCACACGTGGTGGCCGGTCACCTAAACGACCACCAGTGTACTATAGCTTTACGAATACACATTTGTACTCCCAAAGCTATAGTGTTCTTTCATGTGGACTATCAGTCAAAGTACATGTTCTCATGGCCCTCACTCTATCCCTGTGAAGTTTGAAGGCCATTTTGTCACTTTCCCTTTCCTCTCAATATAGCAGACACTACCCCTCCCCTACACCTTTAACTTAAAGTAGTTACCCAGGTGTTCAGCATTCAGTGCCGGATTATAGCCAGTATAGAACATCTTTGTTGCCTGGAAACCTTTGCTCACAAAACCACTTCCAGAAAAAAAATTAAAAAAAAATTTAAAAGTGAAATAACATCTGTTTTAATACTATTACCATGCACTAAATAGCCTTCTTGGCACTTCTGAACCCTTTGTTATAGACAAGATGAAAAACATTTGTGTTTAATAGAACATGTGGGTGATGAGTTTAAAAATTTGTTAGCCAAACCTCTGTGACCTTTTTCATTGTGAGAGCAGCCAACCCCAAAAGTAAAAACTACACCTTTTCCTGGCATTAAAATAAAGCATATTTGAAATTGTGACATTGTGCGTAGTTAATGAAAAAATCTGTCTGCATAAATGTATTCTCATTCCCAAGAAACTATACTCGTACTCTTCCTACGTGAATGTCCAGAAGCTCTTAATGGCCACTGTATTGGGCAAATCTGCTCCTTAGACAATCACCAAAGAGCAAATCTTGTGGCTGCAACTCAGTTATAAATCGTGGACACATGGAAGAGGTTTAGTAGGTGTTTGGCCAAACAGAATGAAGAGCGAATGTGAACTCAACAGCTACGACCAGTGAACTTAAAGAATGAAAGTGGTCAAAGCAGAATGGCAGGAAATGACCAAGTTCCAGAAAGGTCACAATTTCAACAGTGGTGTGTAGAAGACATCCATAAGTGTCCACTGCATCAAAAATTTATTGGATAGAGAACAGGCAACAGGAGAGCAATTTATGGTTCCATTCCTGCCAACTAGGTAACATGACCATGCAGTGGGCACAAAACACAAAACATGTCCAGACAAATTTTGATTTCATACAAATAGAATTTTCAGAATTTAATTCAAGTAACAGACCACTTATAATATAAACAAATATATCTATAACATTGTGTATAACGTAGATTAAGCAAATCAGGCATCAACATATCCTCAACAAGTTCCTCTCATGTTGCTTTTTGAGGGAATCATAAATC